ATATGACTGGCTGTGCCATTTAGATTCTTGGGAATCTATAGAACGATCTCAACAAGCAAGCTGCTCACACAAGGTAGACTCAAATCTTTAGGGAACCATTCCTGCCGCCCATTAGAATGTCTGATGCTCAACTCCACGAGAGTACCTCTTTGCGACTGTTTGGTCTCGCACGGTCCGCTGACCTGAGATTGAACAATTACATTGAATCAATAGCTTCATCCACTGCAAGGAAAGTTGGTTCCCAGTGTCGCGCCAAAACGTTTTTCTCGCCTGAGTCCATCCTTCAAATCTACAAATCAACCATTCGCCCTTGCATGGAATACTGCTGCTATACATCGCCTTAAGGTCCTCGATAAGATCCAGAGACGGATAAGCAATGTGGTTGGTCCTGATCTGGCATCTCGTCTTCAGTCGCTCTCTCACAGACGTGCCGTCGCCTCCTTCTATTTTTTCTACAAATATTTTCACGGTAACTGCTCCGACAAGATACTTTCGTTGGTTCCCAGACTACATGAATTTAAACGTGCTACTAGGCTGGCATCACGGTCCCATCCTTTCACTGTCGAAACGTTTAAATGTGGCCGTCTCTTCTACTTTAATAGCTTCATATCTCGTACCTCCCCCGTCTGTGGAATTCCCTCCCTATTACTTGTTTCCCTGGTAGCTATAATCTCCAACTATTCAAATGTAATGCCAATCGACATCTCCAGATGCCCTGAACTATCCCCTGCGCTTCTCTTCATCCTTTTCTCCATCACATCTCTTTACTCTCGCTCTCACTCTATAAACCCCTGTGTACTAGTGGCATCCCGCCTTGCTTGGGGTAAAATGCTAAAAAAATGTATATATATATATATATATATATATATATATATATATATATATATATATATATATATATATATTTAACGATTTCAACAACATAGAAGACACACTTTCCTAAAGCATGTTAATTAAAAATTAAAATTAAAAATTAAAAAACTATTTAAATAACAAAGTAATCAAACTATATATACATAAACATAGATATAATTACATTATTTTATTATGCCCGGATGCATTATAATAATAAACAGGATGAAAACGCTGATAAAAATATAATTCCTGGGTATATAAAAGCCAACAACACTAAGAAATAAGGTAGATTTAACATTGACTATGACAAATTCAAAATGTATAATACAATTATTACCAGTAATTCAGCCTCACAAAACTCGACCCTATGTAAAAATAACATTGCTTATAAATTCACATGTACTTTGGGAGATTGTATCTCCAATAATAATAATAATAAAAATAACACAAAATTCTTACATTGGTCACGCATGAACAACATCTCTCTTGTAGGTTGACTTGTCACTTGTCGCATTTAAGTGCAGATATCGACGAACATCCTTCTCTCTCTCTCTCTCTCACACACACACACACACACACACACACACACACACACACACACACACACATATATATATATATATATATATATATATGTATAGTAGGTAATTTTGGATTTCTCTGTTGTGTAATTTATATGTTCTGTTATAATATATACATTGAGCTTTTTGTGCATCAGTTTTAATATTTTATATTATTAGTATCGACATGGATTTCTACCAAGGGATTTCCTACCAGTACTATATATATATATATATATATATAAAAAAATATAGTCTTAAAGTGTGCTATATTTATGGAATAAAGTGCTCAATATCAGAGATAGAGCGTGTGTAAATATAAAAGTGAACATAAGTCAACACTTAGAGGCGACAGTCTGTTTCATGCCATATGCAATCGTCAGACCATGTGGCCTGACGATTGCATATAGCATGAAACAGACTGTCGCCTCTAAGTGTTGACTTCTATGTTCACTTTTTTATATTTATATATATATATATTTAAATAGGTTAGAAACGGTACAAAAAGCGTATTAAGGCATTAAAACTAGAAATGTTGTATTGCAGGCCATGATAAGTTTAAAATAAAACACACACAGTCGACCGGTTTCGTCCCTCTCGTCAGAACTGTTAACGGGGAATTTAGATTATGAGGAAAAAAGAAAAAAAAAAAAAAAAAAAAAAAAAAAAAAAAAAAAAAAAAAAAAAAAAAAAAAAAAGAAAAAAAAAAAAAGAAAAAAAAAAAAAAAAAAAAAAAGAAAAAAAAAAAAGAAAAAAAGAAAAGAAGAATTCCTCATAATCTAAATTCCCCGTTAACAGTTCTGACGAGAGGACGAAACTGGTCGACTGTGTGTTTTTTTTTTTAAACTTATCATGGCCTGCAATACAACATTTCTAGTTTTTAATGCCTTAATATATATATATATATATATATATAAACCAAGAACGTTTGTGCTTCTCTTCTCTTTAAAATATACACTATATATATATATATATATATATATATATATATATATATATATAGTAATTCGTGGAACTAAAATTCATTTTTAAAATCTTTCCTTAGTTTGTATCTGGGATATTGGGTCCGAGTTTGAAATCCGTACGATGAGTTCCAATTCCGGTCTCTTGCACTAAGTTTTGCTTAAATGTCCTTGTGATAGGCATAAAACCATACTTTCTCCCAGCTATGGGTTAAATATCCAGATAGGCTGGACTCTATATCCTTAATTGCAACCGGTTTTGGTGAAAGAATATTATGACTTCAAACGTTAGAGAAAGCAGCGGGAAAGCATTGCAAAGAATATTTACTAAGAATGACAATTCACAGACAATAAAGAAAAGGAATCTCTAGAAAGCCGTAGTCGCTTACATCCTGGGAGGAAATGATGTTAAAATATTTTATTGCAGCATCCGTTGATCCGTGGATCAACATTCATTACAAAAGATACACCTTTACAGGCATTAGGGCATTTTTTTTGTTTCTATGTTTGTATTTTTGCAGTACATTTCAAAATGCCGACATGTAATAAATGAAATACAAAACAGATAATTTTGAAAGAAAATATCCTTTTAAATAGAACGACAATAACTTCGGTGTAAACTTATCTAGTAGTAAACAGTGTATTACCTGTCGTTCAATGGGATTTGCCTTCATTGATTCAATCTGATGCACACACAACCAACCCGCTGAAACACACTCATGAATGTCTAGACACCATTAAATGAAGCCATCACTCCGCCTTTCACTCTACCACCACACGCCAGTTGAGTACATTTACAGAAAAGCGTGAGTAAATACCAGCCGACTGCTATCCTCTAACATCTACCCCTTCATTTTCCTCTTTTACCGTCAGCTCCCTACACAGTTCCCCACTTCGCATGAATTATTGACTTCATTATAAGACAGACAGCAGCAACCATTTTCTCCCTGTACTCATACCATTTTCGGCTTATCAATGAAATAAAAGATACGCTTGCTAGACCTTGTAAAACGAAAGGAACTTAGGTTCGATATTCAAATAGAACAAGATATCGTGGGGGAGTGGTTTAAAACGTGCAGCTCATCAATTGGGTTGTTTTATCGATCCCGGTTGTATGACTCAGACTAGTGGCCTTGTGCCAAGCTAAATAAATGCTTAGGCATCTTGCCGTGGAAGTAATGTTTAGCGAAGTAGTATCGACAACCATTCATACTGTAGGGTTTTAGGTCAAGCTAAAGTCTACTGAATTGCCTATAATACGCATCAAGATATAAAGCGCATGGGAAAAAAACACGTGCCTATAATTTGACAAGCAAGATTTACGACAAAATAATATTAAATATTAATAATATTAAATTAAAGATCCATTCATATTTCGATACAGGTTTGTTTTTTTATGTTTCGACATTTCTTTTATTTGTAATCATAATTTACTCATATAAAGGATGTTTCAATAATTTGGACCTATTTTAATGTGTATTAAATTTAAGCGTCTAATGTTTTTTCCTTTTGCTTTCAGATTTAACAACTTAAATCTTTGGCAATTTCATTTTGAATTGAATGCTATTGATGTCTCATTAACCAGAGTAACTATGAGCCGACTCGTCAGAACAATCTGCTGTCCATTGGCAAGTGAAACTATATATTAAATAGAAATTGAAAAGAATAAGTTCTGATGAAACTTCGTTTGTACGAAATAAGCATTTAACAGTAATAATATATTATGGTGAGGAAACAAATGGACCGTTCACAAGCATAAATGCGATCTGAACTGATTTCATTTTATCATCTGCTGAAATTATATATATATATATATATATATATATATATATATATATATATATATATATATATATAAAGGCTGTTCCAATTATTACTTGGACTGATTTTAATGTGAATTAATTTTAAGCGTATAATGATGTTTTTCTTTCAGATTTGGCGGACATTTGGGCGATATTATTTTTTATACATAATTGCCATTACTTAAATAACAAGATCCAGTAGATAAATAAATATATTTTAACCAATAACACTGATTTATTTTCTGCTGACTTTGATCCGTCTTAATGAAACACCCTCTATATATAATGCGTCTTAATGAAATACCTTTATAATAATATGAAGCACTTTTGCCGGGAAAAGTTTCAAAATATTATCAAGCTCAGGCCTCTGGCAGTGCCTCTCCTTTGGGAGAGGGCTGGGGTCAATATCCGACGCCTGAGGCGTCCCCTAAAGGGGAAGTGCTGAGGGGGCTTGAGCAATTATTCCACGGTATTGTCATTGAAGACCCACTTTAAACTGACCTTGTGTTTCATTCGGTTGTGACGTGGGCAAACTGGAACATACAGATATATAAGAATATGTTTGATTCTGAGGTCAACAGGGAGTTAAAGTGTATCAAACAAGAGTTTGTTTTTACATTTTAATATTATTTTGATTCGTAATCACCATTTAATCATTTACACTCATGTACGTCTCATTCAGGGGGCTAATGTGTCAAACTGTGGTGTTCAGTAGCCGTGACTTCAGGCCTACCCAGACCCATCCATCGGTGTTATAAGAGGCGGGGTAATTTCTGGGGATTTTTGTTAAAAATGTGCGCCTTATATAGCAGAAAATCTCTATGTACCGACTTCCTCTCCAGGTTTACTATCTCTCTTTCTCTCTCTCTCTCTCTCTCTCTCTCTCTCACTCTCTCTTTATATGGGTGATGTGTGTGTGTGTGTGAGAGAGAGAGAGAGAGAGAAAGAGGGGGAGAACGGGGAGAGATGTATTTAAGTAAGACCACACAACTCTTTCACACGCCTTATTTAGGTCATATTGTAGAGCTTTCAAGAACCAGTAGCAAATATTGTGCCTGTATGTGTGTATTATATCAATGCCTTTCTCCTTTCATACTCCTGAACAATCAGTATCAACGCCCTTGTATTTTTTTCAGGGATGTGAAGAATGTTAGTGGATAGAATCTGCACCTATGAATGTACTTGCTGGATTCGTAAACGCCCTTAAAATTTTCTTGTATAACATAGCAGTCCTTCATGAATGTCACAGTAAGGGATTGTAATATTTCTTTCTGTTCCCTGAGACGGAAATCGTTAAGCTCAGTATGTGAGAAAACATGTTTTATAATTTACAAGTGTTAAGTGAACAGTGAAAATGGGAAATTAGCACTGACGACTTGAGCGTTGTAATGAAGAAAGCAACGTGATGCAAGATAAATTAGGAAAAATGAATAATGAAAATACTTCATTTAAATTCAAACAACGTAAGGCTGTTACTTCTGTTATTACTACTGCTGTTACTACTACTGCTGCTACTACTGCTGCTGCAAGATAGCAAACAATCATAATGAAATGAATAAAGTGGTATCTCTCTGTATTTGAGTCTTGATCACTGTTAAACTTTCGTGACTGAATTGTTATTGATGATTCCAAGTCAGACTGGCAATTTTATCAATGGTTACTGATCTTTTCATTTCTGATTTATTAAGAACATAATGATCCGGGTGTTTATATAAGGTAATAAATAAAGTGAAATAATTAATAATGAAAATGATTCCTTTAATAATAATAAAAAAGCAGAAAAACACTGTTATTTCTACTACGACTAGATTTTTGTTTCTCAACCTTTTTAAGCAATGGCACACCTAGCAGCAAATGAAAATATCACGACACATTTAGAAAAAAACATTTAAATATTATAAAATAAAAACTTAGATTTTAAATAAATTCACATACAAACATGAACTTTATTTCCATGATTCTATTCAACTATTTGTGCAACTTATTTAATGTGAAATCTGTACCTGATGTCTTTTCACGATTTGAATGTGCGATAAGCAGACCCTCATTTCTGCTTCAGTTGAGCGTAGAAATTCTCGCTTCTTATTTTTAAAGTTATTTAGGGTTTAGAAGCTTTATTCACATAAATAAGATGTAGAAAATTGCAATTAAACTGTTAAAGCCTTTTTAGCTAAAAGTTTACTACTTAATCATTTATTCAAATACTAACGCTGTACCATTACTACACACACACACACACACACACACACACACACACACACACATATATATATATATATATATATATATATATATATTATATGAATGTTAATACTCGTTTTGAAAAACCTCGATTAGCTTAACTTATAATATAACAAATTGATATCCGAGAAAAAATTGGTAATAAAAAAAAGAAGGAGCCAAGTGTACGAATGTACTAATCCTCTCGTCAAGTGCTTGAGATCCAAGTCCAAAGAAAAAAAAAAAACAAAAACGAATAAAAGACTAAACGACAATACACTAAGTAGAGCAAAAACTAAATTTTAGTATATATATATATATATATATATATATATATATATGTAGGGACAATATTTTAGGGCACACTTAAGAGGATTACGCGGCACATTAGTGAGCCGCGTTACAGCGGCTGAGAATCACTGTAGTTGATAAATGCTTGATTATAGAAAAATAAATTCTATTAATTATTTTACAGTATTTTCCGTTGTCCAAATGATTATTCGTGCCAGGCCCTTTTGACTAATCTCTCATATCAAAACATTAAGGTAAACACTCGAGTCGTGTTTTTAAATAGCATTCATGTGGATGACATTCATGACTCCCAACTCATTCAAAAATATTTAAACTCTCAACTGTTTGGAACCCGTTTTCTCGACCGCTCGTTTAAAATGGTTTCGAGTGAACAAACCCGGTAGGTTTCAGCGAGTAACATCCTTCTACAAACCTTGTCTATTGGCACTGCAGAATTACAAAGAACTGTACCAAATAAAGATGATTTTCAACGGTAACAACAACAAAAATGCATAACACCTGCAACTCGAAGAGAAAAATAATGACATAATCAAGATGTTGACGTTCCACACTAATAGGGACAAAAGGTTAAGAAGGAAACCGCTTGATACTGGAAAGAGCGATAACAATTACAGAAACATTTCATAAAGTTCAATCGAGTGTAGCTGTTCGGTCAATGAATTCTGATGTTTCCTTATAGGGAAACGGCTAATTATTATTTAGCAACGAGACGAATGCGCTTGGAAGAAACAATCATTTGGACTATTTCTTTACTCACTAAGTTGAAAAAAGAAATCTTTTGTTCGCATACAAGATTAACTGGTTTCATTTGTATGGTTTATCAACAGCTTCGTGTGTTATTTAAAGCTGAAATATATTTCCCATTTAGGAGGTTGCTTATAGTTCTCGAATAAAAGAAGAAAAAAAAAACAATAAAATATCTTGCACGGTTTCCGTCTATTTTAATTAAACATGTATTAGAAAAAACTATGCTTGGGTATTAAACATGGCGTAAGTAATTAAATGGAAGCTATTTGACACTGGACTGCGTCCTATAGCCTTGGTTGGCAACCAGTCTAGGAGAAGAAAAACTTAAACTCAAAACACGGACTACCTTTTAGGTCTTGCCTCTTTAACTTCTAAGAGCAGGGACGCCATAACCTCAACGTCCCTGATGCAATAAGAACCGACAGGCCATTCCTTTCAATGTCACCATGAACCAGAATTGTCAGATGGAAGGGGCCTCCAGGATGTGGGCTAAAATCATGGAGATGATGGTTTTGATATTTTTTATTAATGCTTCTTATTTTAGCTGTCGTAGAATGTTACTAACTCAGTGTTGTAATAAGAATGAAAAATCAAAATAAAAGACAAACTAGTTCAACTTTGTACTAAACATTCTTCATCTAAGAAATTAAAACAAATTAGAAAAGAAACTGCAAGATCTCTTAAATAATGTAACGAGGGAAAGCGAGAAGAAAGGACTAAACATCAATTGAAAGACAGAATGTATGATTGTTAGCAAAAGGAAAAACCCAAGCACATTTAAAATTGGAAATACCCAAATTACACAAGTACAACTAAAATATCAGGAAGGAAATCCATTTTTAATTATTCGTTTTCATCTTTTTATTTCTTCTTTTTTGTTGGGGAGTGGGAATTACTTTTAACAATGGAACGCTCAAGTCGATTTTACAGTTTGTCACCGTCAGCTAATCAGCATAGATCCAAGATAAAGTGGAAATCTCCTGCAAGACTCGAACTTGTGTCCCCCATGTTTGGGGATCACATCTGACATGAACGGTGCTTTATTGGTGGGGTTAGAAAGACTAAAAAGCCTTCGAAGTATAAAAGCAAAAATTAACTGAAATGTCTCAAGAATTAATAATAATAATAATAATATTCTTATGTCGTCTACTAATTAGACACGCAGGGTAACTGTTATGGGTATGTAAAATGGAATCGGAGAGTCAAGTTCAAATTTCGGTCTCATCTGTGATGTTTGTTTCCAAACAAATGCGTATTGGTAAATCTATGAGTCTCTTGTCGCTGTGTGAAATAACTCAGTAAAATGAGTTCTCAAATTTTATTCTGAATTCAAAAACTGTGGAAAATTCAAAAAGAAAATAAAACACTCCGTTATCTTTCCCAAAAATACATGTAAATTTACATATATACTATTTTTAAGCATTTCACCCCAAGCAAGGTGGGAGTGCTGCTATCATGCAAGGGGTTACTGAGAGTAAGAGTAAAGGGGGGGATGATAAAAAGAAGAAAAGGGATCGCGATCAAGGTGTCAGAAAATTTCGATTTGAATATTATAGCTATCAGGGAAGTAAGTACAAAAAAGCTAATTCCAAATCTCGGGAAATGCGAGATCAGAAGCTGTTGGAGTAGAAGAGTCGGTTACTTTTAACTGTTTCGTCAGTGAAATGGTGGGACCGAAATGCCAACCTAGTCAGTCAGTTATGTGCCATGAGTGATACACGCCTAGGAGGTGATCATGTATCTTTCGATCTTTTTCCCCGCAGAAGTTTGACAACCAAGGCTATAGAACCCGGTCTGTCCTGTTATTTATCCAGAAGAGGATTCCTCCCTTTTCCAAGGATATTAGCACGTAAGTGAATGTAATAGATTCGACTGGAATTCGAACACTGCTCTCTGATTCCTCAATACGAGCCGCTATCCACCATGACTCCTAGTAGCACGCTTAAATTCATGCAGTTGGGACACCAGTGAAAATAGCTGGCCAGAGCAGTTGCCATGAAAATATTTGTAGAAAAGACAGAGGGAAGCCACATCACGTCTGTGAGAAAGTAGCTGAAGTCGAGATGCCAGACGAGCTCCTATCACTTTCCATATGCCTCTTTGGATTTTGTCGAGAACCTCGTGATGAACAGCGGGGGTACCAGACAATATATGGCAACAGTATTCAATGTACGGACGAATGGTAGATTTGTAGATTTGAAGAATGGACTCAGACGAGATAAAACCTTCTTGCGCGACACAGAGAACCAACTTTCCTTGCTGTAGATGTAGCTATTGATTCAATGTAGTTGTTTCACCTGAGGCAGAGAAATCAAAAGAGGAAATATCATGATCGCCTCTCACCTGAAGAGACATGGCATTACAAATTTAAAGACTAATTTGGTACAAGCAAAAAAATCTTACATGAGGAAAATCAGACGAGAAAGAATATGACCCCGTTTGAACTTAAACTGCTGTTTGAAGATCGTGCCTAATACGTTAAGGCATCGGCCATGTAAGAGAGACTGCTAAAGAAATCTGATGTGAATTCAAATCATGTTGGTGGTTATATATATATATATATATATATATATATATATATATATATATATATATATATATATATAAACTGAGCGTTTCGATAAAGAAAGATAAATGTAAGAGATGTCAGCAATCGTATGAAGGCTTAATTTAAAACAAGTACACCAACTGCTAAATCTATGCAAGGTTTTTATTTCTGCATATTTGTTTACAGAAGATTGAATGATGATTTCAAAAATAAAAAATAAAATATTAAAATTAAAACAATAAAAAATAAAATTATAAACTAAAATTAAAAATTAAAAACTAAAATCAAAAAATTAAAAATTTTAAAATATTAAAATAAAAATTTTAAAAAAATTTAAAAAAAAAAATTTAAAAAAAAAATTAAAATTAAAAAACAAAACAAAAATAAAAGATAAATGAAAAAATTTTATCCTTGGTTTAAACTTCGCGAAATCGGTTTAAAATATTTTTTGAGTTAAATGACTTAAAACAATAAACATCCTATTTCTATATGACTCATCATCATCGTTAACCATGTGATTGAAGGTGAACCGTTTCATTTTTTCTTTTTTTTTTAAATAAAATCAACATTACTGCAAAAAGCTTCCTAGATGCCTACCATAAACAAATCTGCGTACACATATGTTTAACAATTCTATTTTTAAATTTCACCACAAGCAAGGCAATACATCTACTAAGATGTTACTGGGTGAGAGAGACTATAAAAAAAAGTCATTATTAAGGAGAGAGAACAATAAAAGAATAGGAATTAAGAGATGATAACGATTGACATTAAGTTTAAATATTTGAAGATGAACTTTGACTGAAAAGCAAGAAGCCGGACGATACTTTCGTAAGCGGGAGAAGAAACTGTTAACATAGAACTGACGGTTATATCTAGCCATATAAAAGGATGACACCCTGTCACCAATCTAGTAAGGCGCTTAAAGTGATAAAGTCTAGGTACCATAGAGGAAAGCTCATCAGATATAACAAATATTCTCATCATTGCTGCTAAACTGCTACTAATTTGATCTTCGGTTTTCCCTAAGTAAATATTTGATTTCTTTAGTCATTAAAAAATCTTTTAAAGCTAATTTGTACAGAAAAATTCTAAATCTAATCTAATTTCAAATATTTAAACGTAATGTCAATCGTTATCATCTCTTCTTAATTCCTATTCTTTTATTGTTCTCTCTCCTTAATAATGACTTTTTTTTTTCATAGTCTCTCACACCCAGTAACATCTTAGTAGATGTATTGCCTTGCTTTTGGTGAAATTATAAAAAAATAGAATTGTTGAATAATTGTGTACGCAGATTTGTTTTATGGTAAGCATCTACGAAGTTTTTTGCAGTAATGTTGACTTTGTTTAAAAAAAAAAGATGTTCAGCTTCATTATTTTTCTCTATTGAAATGCAAATTTTAAGGTCTCCTTTTAATATAAGTAATTGCCAAAATCAAAAACGGAAATAAAAACAAAAAAACATAAGCGCAATAAAGAATAAGTTAAACCTTTCAGGCTTTGCTGCAGACATCATTCGAACCTAACCTCATAATAAAATAGGATGTTGTCTGGAAGGAAGATCTCTGATTACAAGACTTCTAATAGATGTTTGCAGTCTACCCAAAGACAGGGATAATCAATAAGGTGGTCAGTAGAACAAAAAAGAGTTATCGTTAATAAAATAAAACGCTCGCTAATTATTTTTAATAATAATAATAAAGATTTAATTTCTTTTTCAGGAGAAAAAAGTTTATCACTTAATACGGGAAATTTTGTTTTAATCAATTCACCGCAAGCAAGGCGATAAAGCCACTAAGATGCATGGGACTATTGGGAATGTAATAGGATGAGAAGATTTTAGAAGGTACAGGAAATAAGGTATCAACCGCTACTTCTCCCTCTGAGGAGGAGTGCGAGCCGGACGGTAAGCAACCTTATCTACTGCTACTGTAGGAAAAATAAAATAATATTCAATCAAATTGTAGAGTTTAGGCGGAGACGTTAGAAATATAGAGTTGCAGTAGACTTTAGATTGAATCCGAAAACGAATCTGAAAGAGGAAACAAAGTATAAAGCTCTACTGTTCAAAAGACCGTGGAAGAGTGTGAACCAGATGATGGCCGAACCTATCTACTCCTATTGAAGCCTGGGGAGGAGCGGGAACCGGGCGATAGGCGAACCTATCTAAAACTCGCGACATAATATAATAGATTGAATATATATCGCTTTTCTGACCGAGGTAGAGATCGAACTTTACGGGAATATTTCTAGGAAAGGTCTGAAATCTGTCTCAAGAGGATTACTTTTACTTGTCTACTAAATAAGAATGACTGCATGTTTATCAAAGAGCGACACACAGACAGATAGTGATTAGGCGTTTGAGATCTTTAATTGAGAAAACGTCGGATCTGTTTCCAAAGCCACTTGTGTCATTAAGATGTGCTGTCGTAAAACAAGTATGGACTACTATGAATGAGTCATGTCTAAAAATCACATGTGCGTGCAAAGC